TGTCTATCTGGAATTCACAACGTCCTCCTGTGCCCGCGGTGTCTATCTGGAATTCACAACGTCCTCCTGTGCCCGCGGTGTCTATCTGGAATTCATAACGGCCCTCTTTTCTTTGAGCCTCTTTTCTTAGAGAGAGACTTCAGTATCCTCTCTAACCCCTGGTATAAACAGCCTGGGGTTAGAACTGGCAAGAACGCTGAGCCAGACCAGTGATCGCTCCTAAGAGGCTATGAAGCCTGCGGCAGGCACAGGGTTCAATTCAGGACTTGATGTAAATTAAGCTCCTACAAAATGTTTTTTGAACGATTGATTATAAATAGATGGATGACTTAATGGAAGCACAAAACTTTATTTTTTTTCCCTAAAAATGGTGCAGGAATGCCCGTGGGAGGCTTAGTGAGCCCCAGCCTGTAAGTGAACGTACAGAGCAGAGGGCAGCGGTGCCAGGCCGCGTGCAGGGGCCGTCCAGCCCGCTCTGGAGCATCGGCCGGGCGACTTCACAGTCTTTTTTTCTTCTTCATCTGTGAAGTGGGAATTATGGCCCTATCTGCTGTGTAGGTTGTTGTGAATTTTAAATAAGATAATGAACGTAAAGTCTCAGTATAGGCCTGGCCACTTTTCTCCTTTTTCACCACATTTTCTTTATTATTAATGAAACCAGGGATGACACAGCAAACAGTTTCATCACTAGGTGATCATGTTGTGTTGTGCTGTGGTTTTCCCCACATTTTCTATGAGTTGAAAGCTTTTATGAATAGGTCCTTCTTAAAATACATAGAAACTAAAGCAAAGAGAACACGAAAAATGAATTCTTAGTTCTATAAGAATAGCACATTTTCTGTGAATAAATAGGCAGTTCCAGAAATTCATGCATTCATGCTCTTTTCTTCAGCTAATCATATTGTTTCATGATATATAACCTGCTTTATGGAAAGTATATTTGTAAACACTGTCTTTAAATAATACAAGTTTAATAAAAAGTAAGAGTAGGCTGAACTGTCCTTATTAATGAAAAAAAAAAAAAAACCCAAACTCTCCACCTCCACATTATATACTCAAACCTTCAGCCATTAGTTGGGAGGGAGAAGGAGAGGGGAAGTTCCAGTTGCCCTGTGTTGGTTGCCAGGAAACTTACAGAAGCATCAGGGAGAGAAAACAAACAACTGAGCATTTCTGAGAAGGTGCCCTGGGAGGCCAGCACCTCCTCGGTGGGGGAACTGCAGCTTCGTCTGCCTTCTCCAGACGGGAAAAATGGAGTTGAAAACCACGGCGTGTTGGTAGAAGCAAGGTTAGAGGAAGGACTTTGCAAAGCCTTGTCTGTGATGCATTGAGCATGTGAGTTGGAAGTTGGTTTCTGTGTCTGTTAGTATAGAAGTGGAGGGAGCTTAGCACATTTTTATCTAGCTGGGTTAAAGCCTAAGGAGGAGGTGTTTGTAAACCAGTCAGCTGGCTTTGAAAATAAACAGCAGAATCAAATAAGCGAGGAGATGCCTCATTTCCTACCCAGGTGTGAACACTTTGATTCCTCATCACGTTGCCTTGAAGGTTTGTCCGTGGAGTTTGGAATTCTACTGCTAAGTGGGGTTGCTTTTCAAAGGCACCTGTTGAAAGGAAGGAAGAACATTTAGCAATAGTCAAAGTCTTCTGAAAAGAGGTGAAGCCATTATGAGCCGCCCAAATACTGCCCTTGAGATAAACTCTGGGTCTCAGCCTGGGCCAAGAAACCCTGAGCGGCCAGAAGGTCTTACTGCGGACGGAGACTACGGCCCCAGCCCGCTGGAAAACCAGCTCAGCGTGGAGGACTTTGCCAACATCCAGAGGGCCTTTGAGGTAAGTGCGACCCTCATGCACCAGAGAGTTTGGGCGTTGGTCATGAAGAAGACTGGAATGAAACCTGGAGAGATTTTTCTTTGAAATTAAAAAGAAAACATGTGGAGTTTATAGCAGGATATTGTAAATAATTGGTCAGGCCTGGATTTAACACGGTGTGCTTGGTCACTTTACCCCTCAGTTCTCTGGACCAAATAATATTATTTAGAATGAAATTGCTGCACTTGAGTATCACAACCATAAGGAAGAATCATTTATTCTTGGACAAAATTTTGCTTAGAAATCAATATATTTTTGGAAAATAGAAAATTATGGTTGTGAGGAGAACCAAATCTCTAAGGAGACCCCTGGTAATAATTGGCGTTTCATTTAGAATGGACCCAGGACTTAGCAAGTGCACATGTTCACACCCAGTTTGCAGAAATTCCCTTACCTCACCCCGGCAGGCAGAGCTCCTTTAACAAGCTGTTTCTGGCACTGGTTATCCCAAGATCCCATATGAGGGAGCAGCCACCCACTCTTTTTGTAAATTCTGGAGTAATGCCAATAAAAACAAAATTGGAAGCTTTTATTTTAATTCTACACGGAAAATACATCATAGGAATTTAACTATAAGTGATGTGCATTAATTAATTTGGAATTCTGCAGCTGTGTGGAGTGAGTAGCATGCATCAAAATCATTCCTGGTGAAGTGCTTTTCTGTGCTGTGGAATTCAGGTGGATCTGAGCCTCCATCCTTTCTACTTCATTATATTTGCTAAAATGTATGTCCTGGGTGGGGGTTCTTGAAGTGTCTGTATTAATTTGAAACAAACATACAATATTTTGAAATATCACTTTATTTATTTTTTTGAGATAGAGTCTTACTATGTTACCCTTGGTAGAGTGCAATGATGTCATAGCTCACAGCAACCTCCAACTCTTGGGCTCAAGTGATTCTTTTGCCTCATCCTCCCAAGTAGGTGGGACTACAGGTGGCTGCCACAATGCCCAGCTATTTTTAGAGAAGAAGTCTCACTCTGGCTCAGGCTAGTCTTGAACCTGAGAAATACCACTTTAAAATTAAAGCATGGCTCAGTACCCTTAGCTCAGTGTTTGGGGTGCTGGCCACATACACTGGGGCTGGTGGGTTTGAACCCAGCCCAGGCCTGCTAAACAAAAATGACAACAACGACAACAACAAGAAAATGGCCAGGCCCGCAAAAAAAAAAAAAAAAAAAAAAAAAACCTGCAAAAAAAAATTAACAAAGCGTCATAAAATCTAACAATTATATTGGCCTATATGTGGCACAAATTTTAATCTTTATCCAAAAGGATTCGTTTGACCCCTGAAACTCTGTTATTCCCTATTTTGTATAACAAGCTAGATTCCACTTGTCCTGATAATATAAATCATTTCTTTATAATAGAATTTATCTATTTAGTAGCAAAGACATGCTCTGCCCTACACGTTTCTCATTCAATCTTCATGTATTTGCTGTCATTCCAACCCTGTTTGAAAGATTTCAGCACAGCTCATGCCCAGGGCCCCAAGTGAGTTTGGCATATTTTGATGGACATAGCAAACGTGTTGGCAGCTTGAGGACGTTCAGGAAAGCGTCAGAGCAGATGACGGCAGCTTTGACTCTGGAATGAACGGCAGTGTGGCAGTCTGGTTCTGGGGCCCAGGACACAGAGCACCGGGGAAGCCGAGTCTGTTGCGGGAGTCAGTGTTGTAAAGCCAACGTGTTGGAGAAGGTCTGCAGACGCTGGGGTGGGTATTCTTTTCAAACTGCAGACCAGTCTTGAGTGCACTCAAGTAAGACTGGAAAATTCAATGTTAAGTATTTTTTTTTTATTTTAAAACATTTTAAAAGCCAGGCTTCTTATTTTGAAATTTCTGGTTGGAAAAGCAAGTATCCAATGACTGAAGGGGAGAAGAGAATGTAATTCAGAGCTTGCCTGAACATAGAGAATCTCTTGACAGTTTCGTAAAAGGAAATTGAGCTTTGCAGCTGTACCTTCAAGAAAAAATGAAGTTCATCCATTTTTTATTGTACTCAGCAGACAGAGAAGGGAACAACCCGGTGACAACTGTGTGGCCAGTCCTAACAGTCAGACCCTTGTGCCAACGTGATTTCCAAACTCAACAGGGACACCCAGAGAAGAGTGATGTGCTGGACGATGTCGGTGGACTCCAGGCCATCTGTCACGAGTGCTGGGCCTGCGGCCACAGACACCAATAGTGTGAGAGGAAAAACATGCCCTCAATGGCATTCCCGCAACGCTGAGCCAGTGATTTGTGGTCCAATTACCCAAGACATGTCCTTGGCAATGCCACGATTCTGGCCCCAGACCCCTTATCTCTTACTCTGCTTGCTTTTCTGTTTGGTTTTTGTTTTGTTTTGTTTTTCTTTTTACACATACTGCTTGTTTGTGGCTGAGGGGTTAAAAAGCAGTGGCAATGAAAAACAGGAAGTTGGGTCTTTGCATTGTGTGGTGGATGTTGCATGTGTATCTCCAAGTGAAATAGTGCCCAGCATACACGCCCAGCAGGGACGCCTGCGAGTAAGGCAGGCACTGCCCAGCGCACCCCCGGGGCAGACTCACCTGGCCTTTGTTAACTAGGAGGCAGACAGCCTGCGTCTGGCTGCCAGCTTTCCCACTTACAATGTGAATCTGTGCAAATCCCCTACCGCCTCTGGGCCTCCGTTTCTGTTGTTTCCAACAGGGGGATAATAGAGTGTTCGTGAGGACTAAACAAGGTATGATTTGGAATGAATGGGAAGAGGGTTGCCCCGCCCAGGAGGCGCTCAGCAGCTGTCAGACGTGGTGTATTGAATCAGTGGAGACTGAACCATGTTACTTCTAATGTTTCTACTCTAATTCAGACATTTCCTAAAGAAAATCAGACTGCTAGCGGCCTCGGCCACCGTGCTTCTGTGTTCCTTTCGGTTGTGCTGAGAAGCAGTAAGAAAAAGAGTTGCTAAGAAAAATCCCCGTGGACGAGCATGAAAGCAGCATCTTCCGTCTCCCATCCCCGTTTTATGAGCAAGCAAAAGGTTCCAATTGATGTCTTGACCCTTTTCTTTGGAAGGAGTACTTTAGCCGGGTGGAGAGACTCGAAAAGTCCCTTGTGAATGTCATTTTCCTTTACCTGATGGTGTCAAAAAGCCACGTATCAGGATGAAGGGAGAGAAATGTGTGTAATTCACAGAGCTGTAAAGCGGTCAGGTCTCAAACTTCCCTGTCGCACTTGCTGGACTTAGAGAAGTGACATGATCTCTGCATATTCATATTATATTGATATCAACCATATTTTACATTTTCTTAGAAACTTGAAAAGCCAGCTATTACGTGAGGAGGATGAGTAGCTGTGGTTTGCTGATTTTATAGAAGTGGTAAGAAGTAAAAATTACGGTCTAATAGAATGGAGTTTTGGGAAAGCCTTTGGGGCCTGACCCACCCTGAGCTGCTTCTGACGATCTGCTCCGTGTGGGCCGTGGGGCGTCTGGTGCCTCTGCCCTACGTTCTCCGCAGTTGACCTCTGTGTGTCAGGACGCTCCACCTTCCATTCCGAATGTGCTGCCTGATGGTCTGAGACCATAGTTTACCCTGCCCTGGGCTCTCTGGGTTAGGTCCTGATCGGCCTCTATCAGCAGCTGTGTCTGTATCAACTCCTGGCACTGTGTTTTGGCCCAGACTGCGGGCCCAGAGCCAGGGGCTGGGCTACCCCGTCTGCTCCAGGCTGCAATCTGTCCAATCCCTGCTAAATCTTTAACTAGAGTTAGAAATGAAGCCCAGGCTACACGTAAATCATGAGGTATTTATGCTCAAAGTAGGAGGAGTCAAAATGGTTCAGTGTGAGATAAACAGAATAAAAACCCCCTAGGAAGTCCTAAAGCCCACCTGTGAGGATTCTGCACGTGAAGCTGTCTTGCAGATGACTGAACCCAACACAGTGCACTTGTAACTTCATCCCCAGAGGCCAGAGACATTCAGGAGTCAATTCTTCAAGTTGTAAAGTTATGCTTGAGTAATAAAATAATGACATTTATAGAATTTTGGTATCTTTATCCTTGATTATCTTTATTTTATTTTATTTTTTGAGATTAAGTCTCACTTTGTTGCCCTTGGTAGAGTGCTATGGCATCGTAGCTCATAGCAACCTCAAATTCCTGGGTACCAGCAGTCCTCCTGCCTCAGCCTCCCAAATAGCTGGGACTTCAGGCACCTGCCATAATGCTCGGCTACCTTGATTATCTTCATAGAATTCTGAAGACGTCTGGACAGATTCTACAGCAGGGCCTATGAACTATGCTTATTTGCTTCAACAAAACAAAGCTGAGAATTCTGATACCCTGCCAGGCAGACAAGGTTTTAGCAGGGGTGTCCAACCCATGGCCCATGGGCCACATGCAGGTTATTTGAGAACTGTTTTGCTCATCTATGGTGGCAGAGATCATGAAAAATATGCACAGATTTTTTTTGTTGTTTTTTGGGTTTTTTTTTGCTCATCAGCTTTCATTAGTGTTTGTGTACTTAAGGTGTGGCCTGAGACAACTCTCCTTCCAAAATAAACCAAAAGGTTGGACACCCCTGCAAAGGGTTACAGAAAGTCAGAATGGGCCCTTTCCTCTTACTTTCTAAACCAGTGATTCTCAGCTTTCCTAATACTGGGATGTATTTTCATTATTACAAAAGAGTTGTGCCCCGCAGGCTAGGAACCCCTATTCTAAACTGTCAAGCTGCCTCCCAGATCATCAAGGTCCAGTCTTCTCTAGGCCTCCTTCTGGCCTTTTGCACCATCACTACTAAGTGAGGTACCTGAATAGGCCTTCCCTGCCGTGTCTGGTGCTCCAGAGCTGTCCCTGTTACCTGCTGTCCCTGCCGTGTCTC